GTTTGAATACCCCCCCCCCCCCCCCACGTCCTCTCTAACGAAAAGCACTAATAAAAGCGAAAAGAAATGGGCCGGTCCTCTAACCTCTCCTCCGAGACCCCCCCTTCCCACCACTCTCCCGGATTCTCCACGATTTCTAAACCAGTTTTAGGACCAAACTCGTAAGGACCCTCCTACTCATTGTACCGTTGCATGATAAACCTTCGTCACGAAATGCGTACGCGCCTTTAAGGAACGACGAACGGCTCTCGATTACGCAATCAGACAGAAAACGATTTAAACGACGATCGCAACGTATCTCGATAAAATTCCACGCGAATGTTTCAAAGGTTGGGAACATTAGAGTGTCCGAGTTTCAGAAGCTACGAATGATTGTCGATCGGCGATTGTCGTTCGTGTAAATAACGAAATCGGACGTTTGCACAGAGAAAGAGATAGGGGGCCGGTTCCCTCAATGGAATTGTCCGTAACTCTGGTAATTGGAAAATGTCTAGCGAGTCCCCTGGTATAAGTTTCAAGTCTATCTAATCGTTAGGATTCCTTTCTCAAGGTCTTGATATTTCAGTGGAAGGCCCACTGGTTTGGATCGCGGCACCTGCGAGCAGATGCTCGCACCTGCGACCGGTAGGCTCGACAGATCCCTAATTTGCAATTTTTTCTAAAAGTCCCTGGCAGGAAGAACTGCCAGAGGAGAACGACACTGTGAACTGGACTTACATTGATATTTGTTGACGATGAGACTCAACGGTTCCGATCCACCTAATGGACTCTCCTTGCCACTGGCCGGTGGACTCTTGCCGAGGTGTTGAGCCTCGAGGAGCCTCAGTTGCTGCTGATGCAGCCGATTCTTAATCAGAAAGATCTTCGGCATTTTTACGAGCCCTCGAGATAGTAACGCCACTCAGTATCGAGAAGCGCGTCACCTCACTGCGTTCATGCCACCATTAGTAACCTTCACACGATATGCTTAACCTCCTTCGTTAGTCAAGGTCGTGCACCACCGTAAAGCACTGATTGGTTACGCTAATAAAATTGTATTAACTTCCAACAAACGATTCCCGGTTAACCAGGAATTCATAAAGAAATAATAATGTCCCTCGTTATTCTCCTTTCTCCGTTAACGTTTGTATTTTCACGAAATTACACCTCGAGAGTCTCGCCAGAAATTCTCCGTGTACATTAGAGGGCCGTCGCGCGACCCCGCTCGCACAAGTAAATTTTTCTGTTGACAAACGTCCGTGTACAGTATTCAAACGTATTACACACAAGTCACACTGTAACGACGAGTATAACGATGAATCCGTTTACAATTAAACCGGCTTCACTTTGCAAACGCTACACGAAACAATCACAAGCCGTGTACGTATGTCGCGAATGAAATTTGTTATTTTTCGTTAATTTACAGTTACGAAAGGAGAGCGTAGCAGAGGAATGTCTCCCAATGCGCACATTCGGTCTCTTGTGAGCGACTGAGGCTTCGTGGGGATCTCGGACGGGACCCCGAGCCCGACCGTGAGTCCCCCCACTCCGTAGAATCCTGTGGGCCCCCGATTCTCCTTCTCTCTCGCTCGCTCTCACTCCACCTCCTGACTGTCTCGCTGCCTCCGATGAGCTCTCCCTCCCCACTGCGCCTCTCGCAGCACACCAAGTCCAATCGACGCCACTGCCGTTCGCCGCTACCTTCTCCTCCTTGGCGTTACTGCTTCTCGATCCTTGAAGCAGGAGGACTGGCCAGAGCCACCTCCAGCAATCCGAGCTACATGAAAACCACCACCTCCTCCCGCTACCTTACTCGCTCGCCGCTTTACCGCGTCCTCTACGATCCGTCCCGTTCCTGCGGTGCATTTTGGTCCTTCTTTTGCCATCGCGTAAGAAGTGGGAGCCCGTCGGGGCGCTTGCGCGTAACGGAGAACGCTGGGCCCCGTGATACGTGCCTTGCCTGAGACTCCGATCCGGTCTCTTCGACTGTCCCGACTGTCTTCCTCGATACTTCTCTCTTTCTCTCTCTCTCCCTCTCTCGCTCTTCCGAGATAGGTACAGGTATATCCACACGTCTAAACCCTACTGCGAACGTGTACGTAACCCAGCGTAACGTAGGAGGAGCGACGCTCGCTTTTTCCATGAAGCGAGACAGACAGCAGGTGTATGAGGTTTGCGTGGACAGGACGACGCGAAGAAGCAAGGTTACGTTTACCTTTAGCTGCAATGCCGTGTTGAAGTTATGCCGTGAAGCGGTATATGCCTGGCGGCCGCTTGTTGCTCGCCGCTTCATTTCTACAGCCTCAACGTATAGCCGCAGCCACAACTAGTCGGCCAAGTGTGATATGTATGTATGTATACATGTATATATACCTGATCCTCATGCATACGCGGCTTGAATATGCCAGGAGATGTCTCATCGAGATTTCGCAGATTTTCATAGCCGGACGAACCACGTGAACCTTGCTGTGATTCGTGGAAGTGCGTCAACCTTGACCAGGAAATGCGTCAATGTAAAATGGTACTTGTGCCTAATCTGGACCGGCAAACTGTGACCGTTGAATTATGGTCTCTCGGCACAGCACGCATCCACGTATATCTCCAGATCCAGGTCCGAGTATGGGAATGCTGTGATTTAGGTAAAATTCACTGCATTTCGGTGTCACGACGTTTACGACCTTTGCTGGAAAAGGGTCCTGGGACTGTGAGACAATAAGGTCGCACTCGCGACTATCTTATTCCTGTCTTCGGATTGACACTTCTAAGTACCTGAAAAACGCACTGTTCTTTGGGATTTGATTTTTTTTTTTTCAAAAACAAACAGCTATCTTAAAGATTCTGGTTGTTAAATACGAAAGTCTGAGATTTCATAATGAAATTTTGTGAAATCTCACGAATTCGTAGCGAGTTCCGACAACGACCTCAGACTCACTTTTCTCGAGCGAGCGCGACGAGCAGGTAGTAAAAGGTAAAATGACCTAAAGAAGAGATCAGGTGTTTATTTATAGTTGGTCCAGGACTCTCCTCCCTCTTATCTCGCCTTCGCTACGTGTTCATGTGCATATCGAGATACATGAATAAAAAATACCGTCACCGTGACACCCAAACGAGGTGCAGAATCGTCGAGCGTCAAATACGTTAAATTCGTAACAACAGTAACATGCAGAAAAGTCCAAAAGAGAAGGAAGAAGAAGAAGAAGAAGAAGAAAGAGACAAATAGGAAGAAGTAAGGTGATAAAAAGACGGAAGAACCTGTCGACGGCAGCGCCACCGTATCCCTTGACGCATAACTGCATTACCCGCCATTATAATCAATTTCCTTAGGAGGTTGCATCACGGCTCTCGCGCATATGGCGTGCCCTTGCCCGACGGTCGTCTGCATGCCTATGGAGAAGCCTCTGCCTGCCACACGGGTAACGAGTATTCGTAAAGAGCCATAAACCGACGTAAGGTAATTCTAGGCGGCATGTGGCCGACGAGAGAATTCTTTGACTCGCGAACTACGAAGAGCTGCGCGCGCATCCGCCTCGATCGTTCCCTAGCAACGTAGACACGTTTCGAACGTTTCCGCGTCTGATTGCGCTTTAACGACGAATGGGAACGAAAAAACGTACGAGAAAGACATTGTGCGTGATGCTGTGAAAGAAGGTAAGAGAGAGAGAGGACAGCTACTTTCTCTTTGAAGTATAATCAGTCCCCCGCATTCCCCTACTTCTCTTCTCCTTCCTTAACACGAGACCTCTTACTGCCACGACTCCCACTCTCTCCGAGACCTTCCTTCTTTGTACTCTTTCTTCGGAATTACATTTCACCAAGAGACTCCGATCGTCATGTAACGATTACGCGTACGAGTAATCGAGAGACTTATCTAACGTCTAACGTAACCGTATTTACGGCTGGCTGACGGTCGGATTCTCTTTCTCCTTCTCTCGCGCGCACGAGCCAATCGACGGACGTTTCTCTCGCACTCCTTTACTTTTCTACTCTTACTCTTGCAGCGCACTCTCGTGCGCGATTGGCGAGTCTTTATTTTTCTTACGATTTCATTCTTTTCTCGACGGAGTGTACATCTCGATTTTCGTTCCGTAATTAATAACGGACGACGTAGCAACGTCCACGACTGACAGAACGAAGAGAGAAGGGGACGCCCGGAAAAATGTTAAACTCACGAGAATCCGCGCAGCGGCGCAACGCCTAGGCGTCGCGTTGCACTCCGTAGTAGATATTCTAGGCTTGCGAAACTGTTGTCGTAACCAAGAGCCAAAGTCAAGGTCGAGCCGAGCGCTTATGCAACCTACGCCTATAAGTTGTTACTGTCGATGCTGGCTGTCTATTAAAGTATATCTACGAGTTCTTTGCGTGATCCAAAAAATCACTGTCAATATATTCATAAGCGAGTACCAAACTTTACAACGTCTTGCGGAAAAATTATTTTCACTTACGAATGAAAAGTGAGGTTGAACGAACCGGTCCTTCGAATTGTGACCCTTAACCTCGTAAACAATAACTTTGAAACCTTTGACCGGCACCATCGACGCCCTCTATTCTCAACCCCCGGTCGTTTTCATGTAATTATCGACAGTCACAATAGGAAGCCAGGTCAGAGTGAACGCAGCACGACGCTATTATAACGTCGACGTCCTCACCGATGGTCATTCGCCAAGGGATTAAACGTCATTAAAATTTCTTAATTGCTCACAATAACACGATCCACTCGAATGGTTACTCCCACGTAGGACTTAACGAGAAAATTTCAAAGTGTAATAAAAAGTACTATTCTTATGGGTTTAACCCTCTATTGTCCATATAGATCCCTAATTTACATAAACATAAGTATGACCGTATCGCTAATCTCTTGGACGTTATATATATATAACCTCCTCAATATATTTTTCCTATTTTTCCACGTTGTCATTATACTTATATTCGTCATTCCCTGCAATCGAACGTGTATAGCACAGTACAAGGATAACGTCAGGACGTCTCGGGGTCTTTAATGACGGTGAGGCATTTGCACTGTAATTACACAGTTCGCCGTGGAACTTTAGCCCGTGGCGAACAAAGATTCCCCATCCACCAGAGAGCATCGAAAAATCAAAGCTCCGTATCCAAGTAAGGGATACGCGTATACGTGATCGTAAAGGAACTATTAGACAGTATGTAGCCCTAATTTAAAAACTTGAAAATCAGTTGCTTTCTTTTGCGCACCCGCGAATGCTAAATTAAGTGGAAAAGGCTGTTACGTCGCGATGCCGGCCAATGCCATCGAGAACCACACGGCTGACCATAACCGTTTAATGGACGCGACCATATGGGCGAATCGTGTCGCCGCAAGGCCAATCAGAATCAAACCCACCCGACCACCTGTCAGTCGTCGGCTTCTTCCTGCGCAATCTGGCTAAATGCGATCGAATGAGAATTCGACTACGACTCGACTGTGATTCGACGATTCGCAGGAATCGGCAGCAGCGATTCGTTTCATATCGAAGTAAAAGCAACGAGCCTGTTTCGATTTACGACTCGATTTCCTGCGCTCGATCGCGCTCTATCGCGCTCCTGCCACGTTACGATGACGCTTCGGGTTAGCGTCTTACCTGTTCTCAGTGTAACGCGCAGTTGGTACCTCTGGGTCTAGCGCGCGTGCTCATCCTGGGACTTCCCTCGTACCGATCTCCAGAGAACGGGCTCTCGAGCGTGGATAGGCCAAATTGTAAGGATCTGCGATCCCATCGACCGCCTCTCTTAACTATAACTCTCGGAAGAGTCCTCTTCCTTCTTTTACTTCTCCCGCTCCTCGCTCCTCGCCTCTCTTACTTGTGAGGTCACTGGCACTGTCCTCGTGTTCCGCTTCTTGCTCCCGACGCTTATTTACGCCCGTTAACGCTCCTTTCATCCTCGAATTGCGCAACGGTCTTGGAACGGCCAAAAGAGACTGAGGAAAGTCGAGGTCGAGCTTCTGTTTTAAGGTCACTTCGATGTCGAGACAGAAACGAAGAAAATGTTTTTATCGCGGACAAATTTGGCTCTTTGGCATCTCTGTCTCTTTCTTATACAGGGGACCGCCCATAAGGCTGTCTCTCTCGCTCTCACGGTATGTATAGGAGAAGCAGAAATATTCTGTAAAGGCTTCTTTCGCTTCCGTCGTATTTATTTATTATAGATGGACGTTCTATGGGCGTCTTGTGGACGTTTCGTAAATATTCTTTATTTTGTTCGATATATTTTTAAGGTTGTCTTTTCTAGGCACGTCGAGAATCTTTTTGCCGTTTCGCACTCGAGGATTGTCGTTGCGCGCGATTATCTCACCGCGACAAAAATTCTCTGCAAAATGGCCAACAACTGTTCCGAGGTGCAAGACGTCGGCGTCGGGACGACTTCCAGGTAACTCCTAAGTTGGAATACCGCTAGGGTAAACACACTGGAGTAGCGATCGACGCTCGGTTGATGCTCAAGGTGTAAGCTGTGATACTAACTTCTGTCAAAGGCATTTAAATATTTTGACTCGAGTGACAAGTGCTTTTTAACTTCAATAAGAGTCTTACGTGACTTACGTAATTAACCAAAAATCCATCCCTCCCCCCCCCCCCCCCCCAA